GCTCGGTCCTTTTAACTCCTCTAATCCCCCTGCTGGATCCCTTTGCCACCTTAAAATTTAATCCATTTTACCGCTTTAAAACTATAAAATTTGGGGAAGAAAATTTAAAAGCCAGTTAAGTTCCAGGGGAGAGTTGGTCTCAGTAAGTACCAGCTTCCAAAACTGGGGGTAATAAGCTTGGCTCATGAGGGAAACGATGGCAGAGAAGGATCTTAGTATGTGGAGGGAAAACTATTCCTAGCAGAACAGAGTGAGAATCTGGAGAACTGGGTTCTGCTCTGCATGCCTCTCTCTGTCAACTGATCTCCCCTCTCCTGGGCCTCAGTTTCCACACCAGTAAAACAAGGGGGTTGGACCAGATGACTCCTGGAGTCCCCCTCCTACTCTGAGACGGCTCATCACTCAGCAAACACGTCTAGACTGCCTTCCGAGTGCCAAGCTGCATGCTCTGTGCTAGATGTGGTTCCTGTTTTAAGACATTTCTGGGAGGGAAGGCCACAGTGCACTCCTTGGCCCCAGAGCCTCAGGCACGTATATGCTACCTCCTTGCCCCACTCCACTGGGGCATGAGGGCAGTGGTTTTCAGAGAAGCAAGGCTCTTATTTCAGTCTTCCTGGGGCAGAGCCTTATCCAGCAGCTCTCCTTTTACTGGCTCTGACACATCTATGGAATACAGAGCGTCAGATATATGCAAAATTAAAACCCACTGCACACAGCATCCAAGTTTGGCCGCCAAGTTTGCCTCCAGGAGTGTTTAAGTGATGAGATCCCGATGCCATCTCTGTGTAAGGGTTGACTGCGGACAAGGTACAATTAGCAAGCTAGATGGCTATCTTTTAAATGGGCTTTTGCTTTTTCATTCCTGATTCCATTATTTTTTTTTTTTATCATGTCACTGCAGCCAACAGATTAGAAGCCGAACATCCTTAGACTACAACCTGAGAGACGGCATTAGGCTCTGCACATCCCTAAGCAGTGGCCTCATGACAGGTTAGATGTGGAAGCCTGTTTAAACACACTGCTACTCTCCAGGCCTTTCTAATACAGGCTTCCAAACAAACTCACAGAATCCAGGATGTTACAGTTGGAAAAGTCCCAACAGGATCCATTCCCTACAACACGAATGAGTTTCAACATGCCGTTAACGCTACTTGAGTAGCAGTGTGGAGAAACCGTCTGAGGCCAAGTCTGGGCTTAATGGAAAAGAGATTGCTTAGCTACGTCTGCCCTGGCCCGGCGGGGCGGGGGGCGGGGGGGGTGCAGGGGACAGCACCAGAATAATACACACCTTTCCCCTCATGAACCTAAGCCCTTAAGTCACAGATAAGGAATCCGAGGCCCAGAGAGGTTAAACCACTTTCCTAAGGTCACACAGTAAGTTTAGGGAAGGACAGAGAACTGGAACCCAGGCTTCTGTTCCCAGCCCTTCCCCAGCTGGGCTCCTGGGGAGACTGCAAGCCCAGGATAAGAGAAAGAATGCAGGCAGCCAGATTTGCTCAGGTAAATCAACAATTCTTCCCCTGTGGCATCAGATTTCAGCTGAGCATGCAGACAGAGAAGCGATTAGCCCTCCAAAGGATCCCAGCCCCTCAGTGGAAAATGAAGGAAATCATTCCAAGGCTCCATTTCCATGGCACTTAACTTTCTGACTGCTAAGGCTCTGCCACCAGGAAGACTGACAAAGGGGAAAAAGTATTGATTTTTGGATGTTCTAGGAATAAAGTTTACAATGAAAAATAAAGACACAATGAAAAAAAAACCCTTGATACTAGAACCTGAAATCATTGTTATTCCATCATCCCACCAATTTCTATTCCATAGTCACTATTATCCAATGAAGTCATTTCTCACAAGAGATCATAGCTCAGAAACGGGGAGGGACTGCATCGTATTTCCTAGCGTAAGTTTTGAATGGCCAGTTCCCAAGTCTGGAATAGGAAACAGACTGCAGAATAAAACCAAGATGTCAACCAGATGGGGGCTAGGAATGAGAGGGAACCCTAAATTACAGTGAAGACGGCTTCAAAACTGGCCTTTCTTCTTGGTTTTGTAGCTTTCAAAGCAGCCAGCTGAGCTGTCTGACCAGATGAATGCTGAAATCCTAACAGCATTATGTGTCCCTTATAAATCAGCTGCCCTACCCAGCTCCAGAGGTGCACCCAGAATGAGCCAACGTGACAATTATGTAGGATTCAGATTGTAGCAGATGATAAATGCTCTTAATTTAAAACTCTGTGTTCTTCAATCCAGTGGAGAAATCAAGGAGTTAAAGAACTGCTCAAACACTGCATTTGTTACTCTCAAAGAAACTTCTCTCTAAGCCACAAGGAATATATTTTTCATTTGGATAAAGTCCTGTCAGACTTCCCTCCAAAGCCTCTGCAGTCATTTCTGTGAGGAAGATCAACGAGGTGCTCTGGGATAATTCTCAACAATTACAAGAGTGGCAGGCTGAGCTCAGAACTGGTCAGCCCTGTCGAAAGCAGCTCTGTGAGCTCAAGATGCCAGATTCCCCAGACAGCAGCCTGGCGTGTTCCGTGCACAATCCAGTACACTGGGATGAGGGACGAAGCACTGTCGCTGTAAGAAGTCAGCCTCTTCCCTCAAGGCCAGCTGACATTCAGACGCAGGACTGGGGGCCAAGCCCAGTGCTGTGCATCTGCAGGGGAGTGGAACAAATAGGGGACTGTGTGAAAATTTGGCAGGGTGTTCCTGAAAGGCAGCAGATGAATGCAGAATCCTATAGCACCTAGAAGAGCTTATCATTGGGGAAACAGCTCCATTCTGCTGCTCCCAGGAAGCAAAGCGATTCTCTCTAAAGCAAGGATAATCAGTTGGCAACCCCTACCACCACCTCCGAACTCCATTCGCCACTTCTTCCTCCTCCTCTTCATGACAGTGCACAGCAGAAGAATTGAACAAGAACTAGACCTTCCCAGATGTGCCTATCTGTCCGTTTCAGTTAAGGGCTCTGAGCAGTGTCCAGCTGTTGCTTCCCTCTATGTGTGCCCAAAAGGCTGCCTTACTCCATGAACTCCCTCTTGCACAAGTGAGTAATTTACTTTGAAAGCTCAGGCCAAACTGGCGGTTAACCTTGACCTTCTCTCTACACATCTGGGTCTATAGAAAATGAGAATCAGGACGTCTCTGGCATCCACAGCAAATGAAATATGAGGGCTTTCTCCAGGCAGAGGCAGAATGTTATGAGCTATTTTAGAACTGGCTAGGGCTATGACAAGGGAGAGTTTGCACCTGGGCAGGGCAGTCTCCCCCGCTTGACCTGGGGCTGTGTCCAGTATGGCGCCCTCACAGCTAGAGATGCTACAAGGGGCTCCAGCCCCAGGAGAAAAGTGGTCAATGTACTCCTCATCAATTCATTGACTGCATCACAGAATAGTGGACCTGGACCAACAACCACATTGTACATAAGGAGAAAGGGAGGCTCACAGAGGGACCTGGGAGGTGTTCAAGGGCATACACAGCAAGTTAATGGTAGAGCAGACGACAGAACCCTGACCTCTTGACCCTGATGCTGGCAAGGATGGTAACAGAAGAAGGATCTCATGAAGGAAAAACCCATATGAATACAGTATTTAAGGGAAAGGGGTCTAAGTCAGCTGTCAGGGTTTGAACCAAGGATTTAGGAATGAGCTGGGCCCCTTAGTGTCAAACCATGAGCTCCAGCAGAAGGATCACCCAGGGCTTCCAGGACAGTTTGCAACAATGACTGGAGGGACGGGCTACACTCAGAACTGGTCAGCCCTGTCACAAAGAGCCCACCTTCTGTATTGGAGATGCCATACTGCCCATATGGCAGCCAGATACTGGGAAGAGAAAGGAAACCCATCAGTTTAAAAGCCAGCCTCTGCTCATCCTGCCGACAACGGTCAGTCAAATTTGACTCCTATGCACAAACTATCCGCTTCCCGTGGGAACAAGGAAATCTTGGAACAAATCTGAAATGCCCCACTGTGTGAAACAGTTTGCGCAGGCATACGTTCACGGGCACCTACTGAGCCAGGGGCTGGAAGGGTAGCAGTGATCTGACCAGAGCTTCTGCTATCAGTGCACATGTATGTGCGACACACAGTACATGCAAACACACACGTATATGGGTGAGTTTAGAGGAGGCAGAAACAACTAAGATCCTAGTCCTTGCTACAAGGAACACCACACCTAATTATTAGATTGGACAAGTTCAGAGGGGTCACGGGTACTCTGAGAAGGGACAAGGAAGGCATATGGATAATCCATTTTCAGGGCTCTGGACACAAATAGCCTCAGAGATTTGGGGAGTCCCTCCACCAGAGCCCTCGCTTCTGGACCTCCAGAAGGTCAGAGGCAGCAGGCCCCTCAAGGACCAGGAGCTCACCCCCTGTCCCACCTCTAGGGCCTGAAGCTCCAAGGGGAGCATGATCTTTGCATCTTCCAAGGGACCCACAGGATCCGGGAAAGAAATAAGGCTGGGAAGGAGGGAGGGTGCACAAACTGGGAGAGCGGGGAGGCCCAGGTGACTCTTTGGGTAGATCGGCAAACAGCAAAGGGGTTGACCTGAGTAGGGAATACCGGGATCAGCAGGTGGGGGAAAAGAAGAATAGACCTGGACACCAAAAAGAAGCACTGAGATCTCCAGAAGAAGGAGTTATCCTGGGACACGGGCAAGCAGACAGGATCCTCCAAAAGAGAGAGGGTGGAAGTGGAGAGGGATGCCCGGGCAGGGACAGAAAGAAGGATGTTAACCTACGGGAAGAAACAGACCTCCAGACTGGGTACCAGGAGTCCAGGATTCTAGTTCTGGCTCTGTCTCCAACCGGTGTGGGACCCTGGACAAGTCTGTGTCCTTTTCCAAGCCTCAATTTCCCATCCAAAAAAATGGAAAGAACAGAAGAGTCTCTGGCGCTGACTCTGAGAAGGCAGGGGAAGGTGAAAAAGGGAACCAAAACCTACAAGTAAATTTGGGGAGAGAGTGTTCTCAACCATATGACAGCTGGGGGACTCACCTGTCCGGCTGCAGGGGGCACCGCCGCCCCCGATTCCCCGGGGGTGCCGTCGGGCTGCCGTTCGCGGTACAGCGCCCAGAGTCCCACGTTGGGGAGAAGGACCAGGGCCGCCAGCACCAGTGCCACCGCCTGCAGAAGCCGCTTCTCCTTCCGCCTCATCGGGGCCGGTCAGCCCCGCGGCGTCCCGCCGGTCCCGCCGCGCGGCCCCCAGCTCCCGGCGTCCACCCGTCCGCCAGTCCGCCCGGAGGCGGCAGCAGCTCGGAGAACAGAAGCTGCCGCGGCGCCGGCCCCGCTCCTACTCCGCGGCACTTCCGCCGCTCGCCAGCCAGGGAGCCGGGCTCGGCCATCGCGTCGCCGCCGCGGGGGACGCTCACCGCCGTCCCCGTCGCTCCGATTCCAGGCGAGCCGCTCGCTCCACGCCGTCCTCCTGCAGATCGTCTGCTGAGCTCCGTGCGCTGCGTGCCCAAGCCTTCTCGCAGCTCTTTCTGGTCCGCCCGGGCGCGGCGGGGTCCGGGTGCAGACTGCTTCCCCCTCCCTGGCCGCGATGGTGCAGCCCGCTCCTCGTAGGCTCCCCCGCCCGCTGGAGCTTTGCGAAAGTCCGGGAGTTGGCGAGTTGGACGCTCACCGGTGCGGGCTGGACACAAGTGTGTCTTCGCGCGCTGGAACGCGCGCGCGGGGATTCCGAAGCCCAGGCCCGTAACCTCTGCTCAGGGTTCCCGTCGACGGCTTGCGAGCTCCCCGGGGACATGCAGATAGTTCTAGAGCCAAGCCGGACCCTCTGCGCCTGCAGCCCCCGGAACTGTGGCATCCCAACCACCCCGGCTCTGCTCGGAGAACCTGCGGACTTAATGTGACTCCAGGGACTCTGTATCCCTAGGCCACTCCTACGAAATGGGGCCGCAGCCAAGCTCCACCAGCACTGTTCGGCCGGCAGTCCCTCGTTTTCTTCCTTTCGGAGTTCCTGGCGTTAGTTGCGAACGCCTTGTGTAAACTGTGGATCTGTGCCCGTCTGCCGCCTGTCTGTCATCCCTTGCAGACCGGCGGGGAGGTGGCCTGAGCCCCTCTGCAGGATCTTTAGGCGCGCAAGCCCAGCCTCCTTGCAGTTGGTATGCCCTCCAGCCCCACGTGTACTTCTAGACAATCAGCTCGCACGGAGCCCTTTCTTTCTGAAACCTCTTGTCTGTCGCTGTCTCCGGTTAGCCCTTCAGCTAGGCACGGGGATGAAATGGAAACAGACTGGAGCCCTGACGTCTGGGGGTAGAAACATTAAATACAGAAGCGTATCAGACGATGGAATGTGTCTGTGACCGCGGGGAGGACTCTGGAGGGCCAAGGAGCTGGACGGTGATGCCTGTCGCTCCTCAGTGCGCTCCACCTAATTGATTCCTCTCTGATGCTGAGGGGCCACGGGCCCTCCTGGTTGCCTTCCTCTTTTCCACGCCACAGCCGTCCTCTTGATTTTCTCCATCTCCAGCCCTGCCGTTGCCTAGCGGCCCCGGCCTTGGACCCTTAGTGCTCTAACGACTTCTGCTTCCCTGTTTTTCCAGCTCCAGGCTGAGCAATGGGGATTGCGTTTTCTAAGACCAACACTCATAGATCTTTTTCTTTTTCTGCTTTCTATTCTTAAAAAAATTAAGTCTTTTATTGAGTTTATTGGGGTGACTCTGGTGTTTCCCTTGCCCGAGGAGGTATACCAGAAAAAATATTGCTACGAGAAATGTCTGAGATTTTACTGTCTAGGCTTTCTTCTAGGATTTTTATGGCCAGGCACATAGATCTTGACACCCGCTACAAAACCTGCAAAGCTCCCATCACCTGGGCTCTAGAACCCACACTCCTCACTGTGACCTGCTGGGGGTGATCAGACATTCTCCCCTCCTCTGCCTTGACCACTTGCAGGCTGCTTTCCTTGACCACTTAGTTCTTTCCACCCAGAAAGCCCTCTCCACTTCCCCACCTATGTTGGTGGAACTCTTGGTCATCTTCCCATGTCTTGTTGAACTTTCATCTCCTTCAGGAAGTCCTCCAAAACTCCTCAGGGGGCTGCTTGCTTGCTTTGGACCTCTGTCACAGTAATGCTTACCTTCTGTTGAATGCTATGTCAGGTGCCACATTAAATTCTTGACATGCATTACCTCTCTTAATGCTCACAGTTACTCTGTGAGATAAATACTTTTCTGATTTTCTTTTGCAAATGAGACTCACGGTGAAGAAAGCAGAAGCCAGAATGATCTTGTTTTAACAAAGGTCAGATAGCATCACCCTCTATTCAAATCTCTCCAGTGGCTTCCCACCTCCCACTGGATTTCTACGAAGAACTACAAGATCCTGCGAGGCTGTATATGGATGGCCCTCTCCCTTTACTCTCTTCATTATTATGCCCCAACCCATCGGCCTTCTTGCTGTTCATCGGAAAGCACCAGGCACATTCCCTCTTTGGGCCTTTGCCTTTGCATTATCTCTGCCTAGACTGCCCACTCTTCTGTCCCTAATCCTCACCCTATGTCTTTAAAAAATATTTGTTTTATTGTGGTAAACTATGCGTGACGTAAACTTACCATTTTAACCATTCAGTGGCATTAAGTACTTTCACATTGCTATGCAACCACCACTGTTGTCCATCTCCAGAACTTTTCATCTTCCTAAGCTGAAACTCTGTCCCCACTAAATGCTAACTCCCCAGTGCCCCTCCTATCAAGCCCTGGTAACCATCATTTCACTTTCTGTCTTTAGAATTGGACCATTCTAGGTACTTCTTATAAATGGAATCTTAAAATATTTGCACTTTCCTGTTTGGCTTATTTCACTTAGCTTAAATGTTTTTAAGGCTCATCCATGTTGTATCATGTATCAGAATTTCATCCCTTTTAAAGATGGAATAATATTGTATAATATTTCATTGTAAGTATATACCACATTTTGTTTATCCATTCATCCATCTATGGATATTTGGATTATTTACACCTTTTGGCTATTGTGAATAATGTTGCTATAAATAGTCCTTTCTAAAAAATACTGCAGCTGATGTGCAGTATTTATATAGTTGAATTCCCATCCTGTCTCTTTGACAGAAGTGGAAGTTTCTAGAGGGAAAGATGATGTTGCAGAACCCTTTCATGTGCCTCCTCATCGGGAGCAAAAACAGAGTAGCTAGGGTAACCCTTTTACAAATAGGAGGCTCACTCTGCTCCTGGGAACTCACCTGTGACTTCCCTTTATGTTACAATAATCTATGAGAATCCTTATCATAGTCCATGAGGCCCTATGTGACCTGACTTGACTTCTAGATTTTGCTTTCTCTCCTTCCCTTCTACTTACTATATCCCTTCTTGCTATATCCCTCAAAGGAACCAAGCTGAAGATGGCCTGGGGACCTTTGCAGATTTGCTGTGCTGTTGTCTAGAAGTCTCTTCCTCTAAACCTTTACCTGGTTCTCTCCCTCCCATCTCTCAGGAATCAAATACCTGCCTTGGAGAGAGCTTCCCAGGCCAACTGATCTAAAATATCAAAGAGCATCCCCATCACCACCAGTTGCTTGAGTTTTCTTTGGAACAGGTATCGTTTTTTATTTCCTCATCTAGATTGTGAGCTCTAAGCAAGAAGGAACAAGGAACTTTGTAGGTTTTTTTACACGTACAGTATAGCTCATTCTCATGCTTAACCACAAGAAGCTAAGCTGTGGCCCCTCCCAGGCCTGAAACACTGTAGATGCTCAGTAATTAATGGTGGAGTGAAGTTAGCAGCTGAGATCAGGTACACAAAAATCTTCAGTGTCTCTCTCCTCTCTAGCTCTTCTTCCAGCTCCCGAAAGGATTCTGTGCAAAATTGGATTTGAGCTTTTTCTTGTGTCTTACTGAGTGACTTGTTAATCAAAACTACACACTAGCCTGGTCAGCCCTCAATAGAAACTCGAACCCATTAACCCAGCTTTAATCCTGAACTCTTTGATCTCCTTCTACAATGTGAGATGCCAGGGAGAGAAAACTCCTGGGGCTTTATCCCACTCACTGAGACAATACCATCTGAGACATGTGGGCAGCCTATTAGCTCTGGCTGTTTTTCTGGGAGAACTGATCAGGTCATCGACTGAATTAAGCAGGAAATGTTACTTTCAGCCTGAGCTGTCCTAGGCCCATGGTGGGCATTAAATGAGATAAAGTGCATAAAGGGCATACCACAGATGCTGGCCCAATGAAACTAGTACCTGTGGCCGAAATAAAAGCCAAACACCAATAGGAATACTGAGGAGGGATGCACAGAATTTCAGCTGCATGGCAAAAACCTATGGCTGTGGCCTGGGCCTCTCCACCCTCAGCTATCACCCTCCTGTCACTCACTCCCAACCAGCCACAAGCGCTTCCTGGGCACTGACTGCACTAAGTCCAGTCCAGCCCCGAGGCCTTTGAATTAGCTCAGCCAGGAAAGCTGTTTCTCCACATCTCCCCCTACTGCTGCTCCTTCTTACCCTTCGCATCTCAGCCTAAGTGTCACCTCCTCACAGAGACCCTCCCTGACCTCCCACCTGAAGTGCTCTCTCAATCCTTTTTTTGTTCTTTCAATGTTATTATGCATTGTTTTCAGGTGTACAGCTTAGTGGATAAGACATTCATACACTTTAACATAGTGCTCCCCTAGACATTTTCAGTACCCCAACTGACACCGTGCGTAGTTTCCACACTGTTACTGACTATATTCCCTATGCTTTACTTACATCCCTGTGACTATTTCGTAACTAGCAATTTGTGCTTCTTAATCCCGCCACTCCTTTCACTCGGTCCCCAACCCCCACCCCTCTGGAACCCAGCAGTTTCCTCTCTGTGGCTATGAGTCTTTTTCAATTTTGTTTGCTTGTTTATTTTGTTCTTTAGATTCCACAAATAAGTGAAATCATATAGTATTTTCCATACTTTACATCTTGCTATGTATTCTTCATAGTGCATATTCCTCTTGGCCAAAATCATATATGTTTGATTATCTATTTGTTTATCTGGTATACATAAAGGGTTTAATACATGCATTTGATGAATGATGAGCATCTTGTCTTTCCCCATCTTTACTTCCTTATCTCTCCTTCCCCTTCCTTCCTTCCTTCCTTTCCTCCTTCCTTCCTTTGTGAGTGGTTTATTCTCTCACTCTTCAGTTGTCCCTCTTGTCACCATTGTCATCAGTAAGAGGCATATCTTTCAATATCCTCTGAGACATGCTTCAGCAAGAAGGGTCTGCTAGAAGAGAGGCAACAGGTGACAAGTGCAGGCCATTAGCTTTCCGGATGAGGACTTGAAAACCTTTCCTACCT